CCTCAGCCAGGGTCAACCCACCACACAGGTGCTCACCATTTACTGTCAAAGAGTCCAGAGGCAAAGTCAGGCAAAGCATCTAATCCTGACAAAAAATCCCCAACGACGGCCAGCAGCTGAAAACTGAAACTGAACGAGAGTACCTCAGGGAGCCCACAGACTTTGTGAAGCGGATGCAATACCCAGATCTTTGCAGTAACAGGAGGACCCTGACAAATACGACAACACACTCCCTGGCAGGCATTAAGGATTCAGTCACGATGCCCATTTTGACACTTCAAGTACCTTATTTTGAGCTCATCAGTGGTTTCTCAAATAAAACAGTGGACAGGACTTTAGAAGATAAGGTTGAAATTGTCTGTGTACCTTGTTGGGAAATTTGTGGAGAGAAAAGATTCTTCTATAGCTCTTGCTGACTTCTTTTAGGCCACTTTTTAAGGGACTCCTCTAGGTCTTGTCCTGGCTGGCCTTTGACAAACTCCGAGCTGCCAGCACCTGCCTTTCTTTCACAATGCTTCTGTGGGACTGTGACCAAAAAGACAGCAAAAACCAACTTCTTAACCAGCTCCAGTTCTAGAAAAGACCACCTGTCTTTCTCCAGTAACTTGCCTCTGAGGAAGAATTCACACTATCAACAGAAGCTACATGTCTAGAGTTCAGAGACTGCTGGACCTTTCTGGGCCTTTAGTGTGTTTGAGTAGAGTCCTTTCTCCTCAGAACACTTGGGCTTTTTCTTTTTTTTTTTTTAATCCAAACAGTTAATATTTTTACATAATGTCTGAAAAACTGTCCAAAGGGGCAGAGGATTTACTTATGAAATGTCTCATTAGCTGCAGAGGAAGAAATGCTACATATTTATTTTGCTATATATCCATATTCAGGTATGTAATGATGTTTGATCAACATCCATGTTTTGGTGGGCAAGCTTCTTGCTTCTTGGGAATGACACAATTGTTTCCCGCGTTACAAACCATCCTCCTGTACAGCTTGGAGTGCTGGGTTTTGTTAACAGATTGCTCATCAGGTCCTTTATCAGATGTCTGCATGCATAATTTAGTGCATTCCCAGAATGGGCGTTTCTTCTTCTGTTCTTTGGCAGCTGCACTGGTGTTTGAGATCTGTTATGTTTTTCTGCTATATGTGTATAAATCAGCTTTTTCCCCTCAGCCACTGCACTTCAATGTACTTGTCAAATAACTAGTTAGAATGCGGCAATCATATCATCCTAATTTGTACTAGCCTACCTAGCGGCTGTATTTTACATTTTATGGTTGTTTAACAACTGTGATGCAGTGAACAGAATATTGATAACTTGTTCCAGTTCTCCAGTGTGATTCTGTGTGTACAATTATCATACATCCTTCAATCCCCCTCACATGATATCTGTTTCAGTAACATTTCAATTCACTACATTGAACAAGCCAAAGCAAAACTGCATTTTGAGGAGACAACTGCAGCACACGTATGTGATCTTAGACAGAACACAGTTGGTTGCGAGAGGAAATGGCAATGATCTTCAAAACAAATTCATAAGTTTGATTTAATTGTTAAGAATAGATGTCATCAAAGACCTACAAGACTAACATCCGTTATCCAACACAAGTTTGAAAAACCAAATATCCTTCATAAGATATATATATTTCATGACAGTTCATGACAAGAAAGCACCTGAGAAACGAAACTCTTAAAAGGTAGAACACCATTTAATTCAAGTCATTAAAACCAAGGAAAATTATTTAAATTGATATTGCATGGTCACCACCTTCTATGTGTGAAGAGGTCTTTATGGATTTGCTAGCAATGTTCCTAACAAAATGCCAGAGTATTTTGCATATGAAAAAATATTAGTGACTAGCCACCAAGACAATAAAAGAGATAGAGAGCTAAAATTATTTCCCTATCACACACAGCTGAATCTTCACCTCTTGAGCATCACAGTGAGATGGTGTTGACAACATAGACTGCTGTGTTTGATATCACAACTCTGGATCAAAAAAGCTGCTCAGTAAACTGAACTGTATGGCTTTGAAACAAATATTTCAAGTTTTCTTTTTCGAGAAGATTACTTAGCAGAAAGAGATGGCGCCTGCCAAGAACAGCAAAGTAGCTATCTCATATGTGCTGTTATGGCAAATACTCAGTAAAGGAGAGGAAAACGCTGTTCAAGCAGAGGACTGTGCTTGTGATACTGGCTGGCTCTGAGCTTGTTTCTTCCGTGCCACAGCCATGCGCAAGGCCTGAAGGATCATATTCTCGTTGTTCATGATGTTGTAATTAGTCAGCTTCAGGAGCTTGTTGAAATCTTCTGCTTTCAGCGAGACCTCCCTTGTTGAGTACGGAGAGCAGAAACTGGAGATGTCAACTTTGCCTAGTTCCATTTCGGCAGCACTGCGGGACATACCTGTCAAGGGAAAAAACGTGTTTGTATAGTGCCGGGGAATTACAGTACTCTGATAGACTATGTCAAGAATAACTTGGAGAGATGGCAGATGCAATTGCTATGAAGGCAAGTGCAGTGCTATGATCCCTGGAAAAAAAAAAATCCACTTTTGAACAAAGCCTGTTGGAATTTAAAAAAAAAAAAAGTCACTAAACATCATTCCATTGCAACCAGCACCTTCTACTGGCCAGCTCACAGTATGTCATTTTATGTGGTCACAGGTGCTCAAGTCTTACCCTGCAGGTTCTTGAATAGAATACATACTAAAGGTAAAAGGAATAAAGGTATATATAGGACAGTAGGAAGCAGAGTATTAGTAGCCTTGGAAATCATAAAAACATAGCCTGCATCTCACATACTAGCTCAAACGGACACAGTGACTGTATTCGTTTATGTACTGTTGCCTCGATTTTCCAGCATAGACAACCAACACATTAAATAGCCCAAATAGAAACCACAGTGACCCTCCACAGAACCATTCTCCCCTAGAACTGACTGTCACAAAAACACATAATCGGAAAAATATGCTTTGTTCTACATGCTAAAGTAAACTTTTGGAGATCAAAAGAAGAAATTAGTTCCCATTCCTCTACTTGCAGAACGTGTTTCTTCTTTCACTGAATTGCACCAAGACTCAAACTAAAATTATGCACAAGATTTCACCTGATTTTGCAAACAGTTTGTGTCACCCCGTTTTTCAATGTATTCGCTAGTAGCAACAAGCAAAGAAACAAAGGATTTTTGTGTTGGGATGAGGAAAAAGCACACACGGAGTGAGAGAGTTCATTGGGTCAATAAAATTAGCTGGGTACTGTTGACTTACCAGGTGCTACATATCTTTGGAAGGTGTCGTTCACTAATGGAAAATAAAGCAGCAGAGGAGCTCCTGGGGTGTCTGCCCCATCAAACATGTAGCACTCTTTCAGGTTGTTCTCATCATCCTTCAGCCCAATGCTGGGAAATGGAATTCCCTGCTCCGAGAAGTATCTGCACGCCTGCTCCAGGGGCTGGTCGTGGCCCAACAGCAGCAGGTTAAGGAATGGAAAAGATATCCGAGATCAGGCTGCTGATGAAGCCCAGTAATTAATGCCACGTTGCACAAAATATATCAATAGCGTTGGACAGCCAGCAATAACGTGAGCACCTGCAGCCCCAGGGGCTGTTTTCCTCTTGCCTGAGGAGCCATTTGGAAATAGTGTTACAGGAAAACACCTGCTATCAAGATGGTAAAGAGGGTTTAGATATGTACCAAGGCATGTCTGTAAAATGGGAATATGATTTAGGAACAGAACAGATTAATTTAAAGCATGTTATAGAGCATAATTAATTAAAGGAGAACTAAGTCAGAAAAATTTAGATCTAAACAAAACTAAATTTGTGGTCCAAGACAATAAGATTCACAGTCACATTATCTGTTTATATAGCAGTATAACTTGTGAGTTGACCTCAATAGACTTTAGCAGGGTTTTGAGACCCAGTTATCCATTTCTATTACTTTGAATTTTACAAATAATTTAAGATTACAAGATAACATATTTTAGACCTCAAAATTTAGCACTAAAAGCATTCATCAGAAAGCTTATTTGGGATGACCAACTTTGTTAAATTCTCTAACAAAACACTGAAGTACCACCTCAGCTTGTTTGAATTAAATCTTTCCAAAAGACTTCAGAGTACAAGTTATTACATGTGCTCTTTTTCAGCTGCAGTACAGAGACAAATATTTTTCATGTGGCATCACAGTGTAAGAGCAGCATTAAAGTATCTTCCACTAGAAAAAAATTAAAGAACCTTAACCAGTGAATTCTGTGTTTTCTGTGGTGCCCTTCGGGGACAGGTTTACAATTACAAGTTTATATTTGGAAGTCTAAATCTGTCTTTTCATGTGGTGAATACCACTTTAAAATCTATATAATAATTTTAACCAAATCAGGTTTCTGTAAACATAGTAAATGCATTTGATATCTTGCTTCAAGCCCACTATTTAAGGACAAAAAATCATATTTATTAAGAGAGATAAGAATAAAGCTGAAGAAATTCTTCACTCACTAGGTTGTTCTTGGACAGCTAGAAAATCACGTATTACAAAAAGAAGACAAAATCTTATACATTTAAGGAAAATGCAGATTAAATTCAGCATCCGAATCACGGACAGAATTTTCCCAGCAGTGTTTCTGGTATTAAATCTTACATATAATTGTAATAGAAGTTGCAGCTCAACCATCATAACTTCACTGTGCCACTCTCTATTTCATTGGTGAAGTGCTTAAGGCTATTTCAAAAGTAGTTTGAGAAAAATAGAGATATTTTCCCCTCTGGGAATTTCTATTCTTCTTCTAAGTTTGGAAACACCCTGTTACCAAATTCCACTAAGTTCCACATTTTACAGACACCTGTCTGAAAGTTGTGGAAAGCAAAGGAGAAGTCGTTACTAAACAAAGACAGTTTTGAGACTTCTCACCAAGGTCTGTGATCCACCAGTGTAATTTAAGTGTATGATGACGTCCACTTTCCGCTCTGGTCTCATAAGGGGTGGGCAGCTTGTTTCAAAGAAGAAAGCTGCATCCACCAACTCCAGGTGCTCCGACTTGCCTCTCAGGTCATTAGGAGACATGTCCAGCAAAGTGTCTAAAAAGATTCACAGCTATTAGCAAAATGCAGAAAGACATTTGTCAAGTTAGAAAGAAAAAGCAAGGCAAGCTTCCCTCCCATCCAGGATTTTCCCTTCGCCTTAGAAGGGGAGTGTACAGCAATCTTAAAGCTCCTTCAGCCTCTCCATTCACGTTTTGTTGGTATTTCCAAACCCATGAACTGCACCAAAACCTTGGCAGGTGTTCCATATGTGCAGAGCCTCACCCCAGCGATTTTCATCCCAGCAAAGAATTTCCAGTACCGAACAACCCCAAAACTGAACAGTTACGTTACTGGAAGTGAAAGATGTGAGGAGTTACTTTGCTTTCCCTCCTCTCCTCTCAGCGAGCACTAACAACTAACCACAAAACCCACTCAGTCCTCTTCAGGACGTACAAATGCCCCTTGCTAAGTCCCAGCCCCTGCACCTGCCCCGATGACCGGTGAGGCACGTAGGCAGGAGAGATGTCCACACCTTTCCATTTTGTGAAATGCTCCTGCTGGATATACTCGTTGTGCATCTGGAAGCCCCTCAGGAAGTTGTGGTACTTGGAGACAGCAGGGCGGTCCGTCAGGATATCCCGGAGAGCCGTGGAGAGGCCGCTCGTTGGAGTGAACATGCATGTAGCCATCTCGTATGGCTTCTCGGGCAAGTCCGGTTGTTCCTCTAGAGATACATGGCATAAATGACATGCAATTGAATTATAACCACAACAAAGAGGAGGTTAGGCACAAAGAGGAGAAAGAGTCAGCGACTCATCTGTACCAATAGTAATCATGTGTTCACAGCTCTCAGCATTATGTTATTTTTCCCTATGGTCTGCTGTGAGTTCCAGTTAATTTCTTGACAAAAATATAAACTTACTTTTGTTTTCTAAAACATGATTGGCTATGTCTGACTGAAGGAGCATTTTTTCTCATAAAACAACATGATTTTAGTAGACATTAAGGTAATTCACTTTTCCAAGCAAGCAAAAAACAGGGAAAATAATTTTATTTATACATTTGAGGGGATTACTGCTTTTAGATTTCATGTAGGTTAAATACAAAATTCAAAACTTATTTTGAAAATCTGAACATTTTATTTTTTAACTAAATATTTTTACTTCTAAAAAACCAGTTTGTTCAGTTTTGTTTGGGTGTAGCCAGCTGAATTCAACACAAACTTGCCATTATTTATATAAACCCATACATAAGAGTTTGGGATTTTTCAAAAATATAGTCTACAGAAATGTTACCAAAGTCTGTTCACTATGAAATCAGTGTCTTTGCTTGAATTTTGACATGAAGAAGGTCATGAGTATTTTCTAGGAATGCTCTTTCAGTAGAGAGCTGCCTCTCTCAGCTGCTGTAATAGAGCTCCACTACATTGGTTTCCTTGAACCTCTACTAAATCTTTCAGTTCAGTCAGCTTTTGAGGGAGAAATGCGCTGTGCGGGGCAAATAGATATTGGAAAGGAAACACTCAAGCTTCTCTCTGGCTAGCAAATAGTTAACACGAGGCTTTGACAGAAGTTCTTCCTTCCAAGCCTCTTAAACACAACGCTTTAGGGACCACCTTATATATCCATCCCTATCTCCTTTCCATCAAGGTCTGTCTGATGGTACTTTTCCTTCTAAAAATCTCACTATTTAAGCAAAGCTCTGGCTATTCAGTAAAATCAAATCACTTGATTTTCCTGGTGCCTCCCATACCCCAAAGCTGAGAGCACCAGGATGACAGAAACACAAAAAATGAGAAATGTGAGCACAGTTACCATCAGAGGGGCCTGGAGAAGGGAGGCCATAGTCAAAGAGTACTTGAGATTTACCGATTTCAGTCACTTTGTCTTGGGTCCACCTGTGCCAGAAGTCCTCTGAATTGTCAGCTGCGTGCCAGGCATCCAAGAGGTTTTTGGAGAAGATACTACTCCACATTCCTAGGAAGTGCAAGAGATATAGTAAGTAGTGCTGAGGTAAACATAAGGAAGTTCTTTTAAAAAAGAACTGCCTTCTGCTCCTTCCGCAGCTCTGCTCTAACTTTTTCATATTTCTATCCAATTTTTGCATAAGTCCAGACATCTATTTCAGTGTTCGAGTTGACTCAGAAGGCAAACTTATTTCAGAAGAAATTTCAAAGTATGTTCCCTTCTGCCACATTTTGCCTGGAATTTTTTTTTTTTTTTTTTTTGAGAGAGAGAGACTTGACATTTTCATTTTCCTATTTTCATTTCCTTTGATAAAGAAATATTTTCAGCCAGCTCCTTCCTTGATTCCCCTCTTTCTTGCCCTATTTATTTCTTCTCAACTTTTCCTTCAGCTTCCACAAAGTCTCACAGATTTCCAAATTTCAAAATGTTTTGCAAGCTACGGGAAACAGTGATACTTTAAAAATACTCGCGATGGTACATAACAACTTATTTGTCATTTTAGTTTCATTTTATCTTAGTCCAAGTGACAAAAACACTTTTGCTAGCAAGGGCAGGTGAATGAGTCTCAGGAGACATCCTGAATTTCAGCTGACTGACCCAGTACCTCTGCTGCCACACGCAAAACAGCAGCTTTCTGTGGACTAATTTCCAGAATCATTAGTGGTCGTATTAAAATCTTGTCACTCCCCCAGGCTGGTGAGTCACCTTGCATGAAGCAGATCCGGGACTCAGGAAGCTTCTTCATCAGGCGACCCATGAAGAACTCACTGCCAAAATCCTCCGAGCGAATGAAGGCACCATACTTGAGGAAGCCCACCTCGTACGGCGTGAACTCCACCCACTCTGCCAACACACGCACCAAAAATGTTAGCTCTGCTACTAAAAACGGTCAAGTCGCCACCTGTGGAATAAACCTTTCAGGCATCAGCCCTCGCAGGCAACCTGGCTTAGCACGTGCCCTGAGCAAACCCTGCTGAAAGCGGCCACCAAACCAGCCATCACATTGCCTACAGGTTTGTGAAAGAACAATGTCATGGCTAAAGGAAAAATCAAGTTATTCTTTCTTTTTATCTAGCAAGTGGGATGTTTTCTCATGGAAGGTGGACTAGAATACAGATTTACTTCTATTGCTTTTATTGCCTTCAGCCAACCATGGAAAACATACATTAAGCAAACTCAAAGCTCCGGTGAATCACTTTCTTTAAGAATTCATAGCATTTCTGAGACAGTGTCACAGATCTACGTTGTGTTACTAGTTTGAACTTAATGTCTGAATATGCACACTTACATGCCAGGAGATCTTACAAAATACTGAACTGTTACTGTCTATCCTATGGCTGCCCAGTTACCCTTTATATCTCTGAACAGGACTTCTCCTGGCTTGGAGAGAGAATTTAAAAAACAATTCATCATTATTTACAGTATCCTCACGCTGTATCTCCACAGGTTAAAACATAGCTCTTTTCCAGAATTGAAACATTACCTCTAAAATCTTTGGTGGCAACTTTGTCCTTGACATTGAGGGCAAGGTAGATGGGCAGTGGGTTCTGACCCTGATTCACTGCCCGACGTTGGTCAGAAAGTCTGTGATGGCATTTCTGGATTAGAAAAAAAAAAACAACAACCCAACAAACAGTTAGCTGATAATCAGTTCCTTAAAGATATTAGCTTATAAAGTCAGTCTTTATATATATATATATGTGTGTGTGAGCGTGTATATATATCCCTTAAAGATATCAGCTTATAAATATCAGTATTATACAGTCTGAATATGGGATATCATACCTCTAAAATCTTTGGTGGCAACTTTGTCCTTGACATTGAGGGCAAGGTAGATGGGCAGTGGGTTCTGACCCTGATTCACTGCCCGACGTTGGTCAGAAAGTCTGTGATGGCATTTCTGGATTAGAAAAAAAAACAAACAACCCAACAAACAGTTAGCTGATAATCAGTTCCTTAAAGATATTAGCTTATAAAGTCAGTCTTTATATATATATATATGTGTGTGTGTGTGAGCGTGTATATATATCCCTTAAAGATATCAGCTTATAAATATCAGTATTATACAGTCTGAATATGGGATATCATTTTCCTGAATTTCCTCCTAAATTTACTTCCATGTGCTTGATTAACAGAGTGCAAGAAAATCAGGGCAACAGGAATAATTGTTGTTAAGATGCAATGTTCTATGTTCAGCATACAACAATGGTAATGAGTTGCTTCACATGCTATTGTAACTTCGCATTGCTAAATGTAAGTGAAAAAATAGGGTAGCTTTGGGTAATTCAGCTATTATCATATATTTCATCTGTTAAACATAAGAGTTCTTCAAGGCAGCATGTTAATGACCCTTCTAGTCAAGAATTTTTTTGAAAACCATATTGAAATTTAACATCCACAGAGGAAAAAGCCTTGAGCTGTTCAATACTAGCAGCTCATCTTACACACTTTAGAACTAGTCTGAGCTTTTCACGTTACATTCAATCATACTTGAGGCTCCAATGTAAACTTATGATTCTATACACCGTGTCTCCAGGTTATAAATGTAAATAAGTGCTGTTCTGCCTACATACCAAGTACAGTGTTATTGGCCAGGTGCCTCTTCCTAGGGTTTTAATTTCTCGTAATGGTCATAAAGATCAAGTCACCAACTTTATGAGAAGAAAGATGTATAGCCATTACCCCATCATTTAACATGGATTCAATCATGAGCCCCCACAGATCAATAAAAGATGTCTTATGGCCTGCTTGGGTCCTTTGGCTCAGCTCTCTGTAATAATTCCTCAGACTTCTCAAGCAAAAAGCACCCATCTTGCACTTGGCTGCTTGCTTCCGAGCTTCGATAATTATTTCTCCAAGATCCTTACGTGACCAATCAGCATCTTCATACAGTTTTGTCATGGTCCTGCAGGCAGGAAACATGATGGAAAGCAGAAAGAAATTAAGAAGGTGCTTTTGAAACTCAGATAATATGCTTTGCAGAGCTTTGGGCACTTGTTGTTTTAGCTTTAGGTTACTCCACTCCTTCGAGCTTACTTTGAACAGAAATGCAAGTCTAAAGGCAATCAATCAAAATCACTTGATCTGGGACCCAAAGCAAGCAGCTACGCCAGCTGTCTATGCTGTTTCAGTCCAACAGTAAATAACCATAAAGGATCATTTTGCATAGGATTAAGGATTTCTGCACTTCCAATAAAGTCTCTTTTAGTTAGAGATAGGCTACTTCAGTGACACCGAAATTATGATGCACAATAGGCCTTTCAAAGGTGACCCTGGCATTCATTGGCCAGAGATGGAAGCAATAACTCCATAGACCCTTTTTACCCTCACCGAGATTTAAAACCCTAGACAAATCATGGGTTTTGCTTAACACAAGATCCGAACAGCCTCAAAATGACTCCTCACCATGTCGTGCCAGATGAGCCACTGATGTATGAAACACAGTCCAGAACACGCAATTTTTGAAGACCCAAAATGCTGCCGTACATGGCAGTGAGTGCTCTTATCCCGCACCCTGCTGTGGTCACAGCTACTATAGGCACCTGTTCAAAATAAAAAAGGGCAGAAAGCAAAGGTGGGACAGTGACATCAAAGCACATCATGTCAAAAGAAGGCAGACATGAAAAAGCAACATTCAGACACTAGTAAAATAAAGCACATACATTAGAGATAAAGCAATGTTGCTCTATGAGTTATAAATAATACAAGTTGCTAGACATCCCTGTGAGGTATACTAGGAGATTTTGGCACTTCAGGAAGGATTTTTAAGAAACATGGACCAAACTCATTGGTTTGAAGTTCCTTCACATGATTCACTTGAAAGCCAAGTGGAAATAGAGACTTTGCTCATCCAGACTGTTGAGCTCTCCTGCTGAGTTCGCCCTGGCTCCAAACAGCACCCTGGAGAAGGAGCTGCTGACAGAGGTCCTCATTCCTCATCTGGTCAGAGGGGAGAAACCACTCCTCATCTCCAGGCTTGAGAGAAAGGAGAGAGAAAAATCCCCCAGCAGTGCCTTTTCTGGTTACCTCATGCTCTTGCAGATCTTCCTCCAGATGAAGAACATCCTTCAGCGCAGCAGCAACCACCTTCCTCCGGTTGTGCAGGAAATCCTGTTCATCGGTGCACAGGTCGAACCCCAGGCGTGCGTCTAGGTTTCTTGGCCTGAAACACAGACCCTGAGTCCTGAGACCAGGGCACAAACATTATTATTCGCTGTGGTTGACTCCAGCTATGCTTGTGTGTGTTTACAGACCAGTTTGTGGACAGTATAATGTAATAAATGAGAAAGAGCAACACCACAGACAGGCCTCTGCTAATTGCTGTAGCTGCCAAAAAGAATGCAAATGGGAAGGCAGAGCAGAACATGACATACCGTCGTGGTATGGTAATGAGGTTCCTATAACACAGTTCTGGTTTTGTTTGCTCATATAATTCATTTTTCAAGTTTCAGTAGTGCCTGCCATATGTGCCTTAACTGGATAACAGCTTTCAACAGGCACTGCAGTTGATTAGGGAAACAACTACCATGCCTTGGTTTTATTTTGTTTGTATAATACAGAAGTACGATTTCTTTGTGGAGCTGCTCTCTCCATCTGTGGGCATAATAATGCACACAAATCAAGATCTACTTACAGAGCTGCACTAACAGCTTGGAAACTTGGGAGAAAAGGGGACCATGATTTAATTCTCCATCACTGAAAAAGGAGAATCTGGCAAACAAAAGCCTGCAACCAAAAGATGAACACACCTCTGCTTACAACTGAGCCTGCATGGACCCCTGCTGATTTCAAATGAGCTTTGTGTAGGGACAAATGTCTCCCAGTTACAGGATCAGGTCTTGCTGGAGACGCACTTACCATCCATTTGCCTTTGTGTACAAGTCAATTGTCCTGTCCTGAAAATCGCAATACAAACAGTGTAAGCATGCTCAGGTCATTAATCCTGCGCCTTCCTCCCCCACTCCATCTATGGGCTGAATTTCACTATCCTTGCAGTGAGCAGTGCAGCTGCAGAATCTGGCCAGCAATGGTCTGGGTTATGAGAGATATAATGAGCTCCAGTCTGGGTTGAATAGAAGTGGGCTATTCACCCAAGCCAGATGGGCTTAGGGCCCCTCAGCTTTTTTATAGCTGAACATCTAGTTTAACCTTCATTTCCTGGGAAGATCATTGAAAGCTGGGCATCTAAACCACAGGCATATGGATATTCTCTGTTTCATCTTCTGCTTCAGGCTTTCTCTTTGCAAATGCAACTCATATCCTTTACTGTTACCTTGCATACTATGTGGATGAACATATCTAATATGTCCTGAGGAAATTAAACTCAGAACAGGGTTGAATGGCATGACTGCAACCACATGCAGAAGAAAAAAAAAATAAATAATATTGCATAGTTGCAGAATGACTGTCATTCACACCTTACACTGTAGCATGCTTCGTGTCTGACGGGAACTGAATCACTGAGCTGTCAGACTCTCATTGCCCACTGAACTGAATGTGTATTGACTGTATTTTATGAAGAAAGATTTGTTCTCACCTCTGCTATTGTTATTTTCTCTTGTATAGGAAGCGAGTTCAGAGCTAGAGTCACAGACTCATTCATATCCCTTTCATTTTGACTTGATATAGACTGGAAAAAAGGGTAAAAAAAAAAATTAGTAAACACAGTTAACTAATATACAAAAGGGGGGGAAAAAAAGAGGTAAATCTCCTGTGCCTCACACATATATATACACCTATCAATTCCCTGCATAGACAGACGTGCGCACACACTCAGGTCTTGGAGGTGCCCAAACCCACAGCACAGAGCCAGCCATGCCCTAGCAGGCGATCACGTACCCTGCTGAGCCGCCTCCGCCGGGGTAGTGCCACAGTGAGCGCCGACTGATTGTACTTGATGTAGTGGAACCTGGCCGGGGAGGTCGGGCAGAGGCAGGAGCTCAGCGTGTGCGTCTGGGTTCCTTCGTACGACCCGTCCACAGTTAACGCAAACTTCCTCTCTGAAGCAAAGGAGTTTCAAGCTTAAGTTCCTCAAAAAATGTGGACAATTTGTTTGCACGGTAACGTAATATATGTTTTTCTTAAATAATGACTTAATTTGGATACCCAAATTATAGGATAAATAGACTCACTTATCTGCACCTTTGGGTTTCAGCTTTAGAGCTAAGTTTCTGTAGAACGTGCCGTAGAGTAACTGTTGCTACAGTACCACTGTGCTTCCATACATAATGTGATTGCTGAGGCTACTGCTCTACTCATTAAATAATGATACACAGCCAATAACAGGTTTTTTAGGAAAAAAGCCCTCTCTCCTGAAAGTCTCAAATTTTCAAAGTACCTCAGCAATAAGACAGTATGTGGTACTAAAATTTTATTCTGGTGTAATAATAAGGTATTTTGAAAATTTCAGACTTTTGGGAGAATTTTTTTTTTTCATAGCAAAGCACAGTTCTCTTTGAAACTGGTAAAATCTCAGTCCCTCTATCATCTTTCCCTTTACTTCAACCTGCAATATTTCTTTTGAAATAATTTCTAGCACTTACAAAAATACTGTCTAGAGGTTTTTTGGCCTTCATATAGTAAGTCCCAGATACATCTCTTAAAACAATTGAAAAATGTTTTTTATATAGAATGGTATCAACCCAGGTTCAAGGTGAAATATACTCTGTAAATCCACACGCTCAAAGGTATATAATCAGCCTTCAAAAGAATTATCCCATTCAAGCATTTTCAGCCACATTTAGCAAACTTCTTCACTGTGACAACTGAGTTCAACCGGATCACCCACGTGCTTGAGCAGTTTGGTGGATTGAGGCCATCAGAAGATGTCAGAGTGAGATGATGTAAAATTGCGTAGGAGATGCACAGGTCCACAAGCACAGACTCGACGTGGTAGTGATGCACTGCTTAAAATGTGCAACAAATGTCTTTGTAAAAGACTGTTTATCTTATCTTTGGCCTAGTGGCATGTTTTGTGTTGTTATGCCTAAAGAAATTTTAAGAAGTTAAATTGATAAGAGAGGCCCAGTCCTCATCCTACCCATTTTCTTTGTCTCTGAATCCAGAAACAACAAGAATTGGCTCCAGTTTAAGCTTCTAAAAATTCAGTTCCCTGCACAAATACTTAGGAAAATTATACGAATCTGACAAGACATTATAGAGCCAAGTATTTTGCGGGGAAACCAGACCACATGCTCATCACACCACATGCTGTAACAATCTGTGTATTTTTGACCAACTACAGCCCCCTCCAGAGGCCACTGGCCTCAGTGAGATTTTTGTCTTGCATTTTAAATACTTTAAACCAGGGTGTTGAAGTGCGAAACACTGAGCGCTTTTGCCATAAAGCAGCACTCAGATTCGCTCCATAAGTCAGCGAAAGGCTCACCGGTGCTGTCCTTCCTCAGCCGGCCGCCGTTCACCTGCACCTCCAAACAGGAAACTTCACGGGACTGTAGGAGACAGCCGGGGAAAGAGAAAAAGGCCGTCACTGCCCGCAGAGCCCTGCCTCGGCCCGTCCCTCGGGCATGTGTGGGGCCGGG